TTTGAACCTCTGGCCCTCCTCCTCTGCACTCCCCACCTCCTGCTAGGTTTAAGGAAGCAATGCAATGAAAGGAAATTCAGAATAAAGAGAAAGGAAGCCTGCAGGTGAGGGCCCCAGCAGCTACAGAAATGTAGACAGGACGGCCCTCTACAGATGCCTCAGCCACGTGACTCGGCGGAAGTGCCCGGGAAGCGGAGGTTCAGGCCCCCCCCAAACAGGGGGACCGGAAGTGCAGGCTGTGGTGTGCGCGGGAGAAATGGCCTTAAGCAGGGTTTGACCCTAGAACCGGGGACGTTCGAGGCCGCTCAGGGGTTTCTCCGACCACAAGGCCCCATCACATCCTAGATGTCTTTCTGCAAATGGGGATTTTTGAGCTTTTCCGAAGAGGTTCCTAAAATGTGGCTGTAACCTTGACGTGAGTTGTGCAGCGAATGGGGCCGCGCGCCCCTCCCAGCGTTCTTCTGGCCGACTCTGCGCCCCGCACCTCCGTACTGGGAGGGGGATGGGCGCGAGGCCTCGAGTCACGCGAGCGGCGTGGGGGGAAGCTGACCTGCCTGGCGCTTGCCGAGCGGCGCCCCCTTCCTGAGAGCGGAAGACTGAAGTGGGAGGCGGGACGCGGTGCCGGCGGACCGGTGGTTAGAAAGCAGGCACTCTGGGGCTCTGGGGCTCCGACGGGGACCCTGAAAATGCGTGGGAGGGGCGGGGGCGGGGCTCCGTTCTCCCCGCCCTGCTTCCCCGCGGCCCGGCCGGGAGCGCGGGGGCTGGCGGTGACCCGGGCCGGAGCGCTCGGGCTCCGCGGACGTCCGGGCTCGGGCGGCGCCGTGCGGGCGGCTGAGGGAGCCTGGGGCGGGGGCCGCGGGGAGTGAGGGCCCCACGGGGCTCTTTTCAAATTAAATCGTTAAGAATGACGTTGGCTCCAGGAGTTTTATTCAGAGGGCAGAAAAGAAGGTGGAAACTCTAGCGTCTCAGTAGGTCACCCCCAGTCCTCGGATGAATTCCGAAGCTCTCGGCGTGGCCTGCCAATGCGAGAGCGGGAGGGAAGACAGCACCTGTCGTTTGCTCTGTCTCAAGCTCTCCCTGTCCAACTGCCTTTCTCTCCCCCTGGACCGAATCGCCCCCGCCCCTATCTGCACCCCACGCAGTTCGTTGAACCATCTCGGGAGTCCCTTATAGATTCTGCAAAACGACCACAGTGTCCCACTTGACTTCATCTCAGCATTAGGCGACTTACATCAGAATAGGCTGGCCAGAGAGTTTCTTGCTCGTCTTAATATAATTAAGATGCACCAGTACTGTTTGTTCCCAAAGGCTGGAGAGGGAAAATGTTTCGACTTGGCGCTGAAGGTGAACAGATCTTCACAACTTGGGTTATAAGATCACTTTTAAGCTCTCCTCAACCCAGTTTCACTTGAGAATTCAGTCGTGAGGGGAAATGGCTTTTGAGATGAACGTTTTGGTAAACGCATGACTCCTCACTGTACTCTGATTGTCCAAAGGTGGAATGGAAGCTCTAATTTCTAAAGGCCTAGGGACCCAGGGGAGCCCTATCCCCCCCCTTCCCTGCACTTCTTGCACCCTAGCATCCTGGAAATGGGCAGAAACTCTGGGATCTGTGGCCACAGAACTGAGGACCTTAACCAGTTATGGTTGTTGAAAGGGGGAGGAGGGATGGAGGAGAGAAATGGAAAGGAGAAAAAAAAATAACATTTGTGTTCATTTACACATTTCCTGTGCGGAACAAAAAAGTCCCACCATCAGCAAAAGAAGTCTCTTCCTCCAAAATAGCAGCCAAAGAGGGAAAATTAGAATATGCATAAATTCCTTCATTTTCATTCGCACAGAGCATGATTTCCGGCAGATTTGTATTTAAACTGCTCGATTAATCCCAATTTCTGAACAGCATTTTACTTAGCATCTTCCCAAAACTCACCTAAAGAGTACTGCTCTCTTCCACCACCCTGTTGTGAATCTTCCCTCTTCCCTGTTCTCCAGCTGTCAACAAGAATCTCATTGATAAGACCATACCTTTATTTTGCCTATTGTTTTCTTTTCAAAACCGGACTGATGCATTGGACCACACTTTAATACAAACTGGCTGCTGTCTGTGAGCCCTAACTGCAGATGAGAGCCTAGTGGAAAGGATATGTTTTTGAAGTGTGTACCTGAAAGAGGCTAATCATGATAGGACCAATGGACTTTTGCAGCTTCCCTCAGGGCGTGGAATCCTTTCCTGTTCTACATAGGTCATATCCTTTCACCATTAGCAATAGTTAGGATGCTTGGACATGTCCTCCCCCAAACCTCCCTCTCCTGCTTCTCTCCGTATTTAAGGAGCATGATAGACAATCACAACCCCCTTCAAAGGAATATTACTCTTCATAAATATTCAAAGTGTGTCAGTCCATTAAATCCCCCCACAGCCCATTTCTAAAATATTTGCTTTGCCACTTGTGCAACAGATCTGGCTGTATCTGCCTTGAAAAGTTCTTTGTTGGAAACAAAAAATGTTAGCATCATTTGAAACCATTCCTTTCAAAATATCATCAGCTGACTTGGGCTTATCTCTCCTGTCTTTGAAATTGTATATATTTCTTTTATTTAATAGTAGGATGTTAATGTTTAAAGAATGAAGTGACTACGTCTTGGTTTATTGAAAACCTATATAGATCGTAACTCCATCCATCCCTAAATTCCTTATTCTTGTACACTCCGAGACAGAAAGAAACCTTTATTTGCTTCTTAATACACTCTAAGCAGAATACAGTGGTTCTGGCTTTCCTTCGTTGTTTACAGATCAGAAATAAACCTCAATTATTGGTGGCTAAGAAGTTATAAATGCTAATAGTTGGTTAGTTCTTGGTTTCTATAAAAAATGAACATACATATTTGAGGTACATCCCATATGGTATATATAAAGTGTATACACTTTTATATATACATTTAAATATCTGGTTTATGTTAAAGACTTTTTAAGATATCGCAATATAGAAGCCTATTTTGTTAAATAAGTGCATAAAGTGAGTGCGTGCAAATGTCTGCATGACTTTTACTACTCTGAAATAACTGCTTTTATTGTATTTTTACTTCCAGATATTCCCATTATAAAAGTATTAACTTAGTTTCTTTTAGTTAGGCATGTCTCCAATGACTCAGAAGCTTTCAGTTATATACAATTAAAACCAAAGTGTTTCAAAATAAATTCTTAAAAGCCATACTTTGGGGGTGTATATAACAGGATTGAGGGCACGTTTACTGGAAACACTGATTTCTTTTAATTTTCTTACTGAAACAAATAAAACTTGTCTTTGAATCACAGGAAATTTTCAAATAAAAAGCCCAATACCTAAGACTATTTTCCTTAAAATATGACTTGAATTAGAATTGGATTTTCTTTGGAAAGTTCCAGTTTGATTTCAAGTTGCAGAACTGTACTTCTGGAATAGTTGGAGTGAACTTAGCAGTTACTAGTTAGGATTAGTGCACGAAGAAAGCCTGGGGTACCACTGAAGAGCAGAGCGATATACACTTGCAGCCAAAGTCGCCCTATTCCCCTTGCAGGGTGAGCACCCTCCCAGTGAATTTATTCCTCGAAATGAAAGCCCCTCATTCATTGCCGATTTTTAGTGAAATAGTATTCTCATGAACTGGAATATGTTCATACTTTTTAAAATGAAAGGACTAGACAGAAATGGAAAAGGATTGTTCAGCCTCCCTGCTGTGAAGGGTGAGGAGATAGATGCACCCAGTACTACCAGCAGGGAAGCCAGCCCTTCGTTTTCTTTACCCTCTCTTCCTTCAACTACTGTTTGGTTTAGTTATGCACTGTGCATAAATGTGAGGTTGAAGACAATATCTAAAGAAAAAAGTTTTCTAGAGGACAAAACTGGCTATTGATAGTTATGCTTTTCTTCTGTAATTTGTTTTTTTAATAAGGCATGCAGATCTTGTTCTCTCATACATTTTCAGGGCTACATTAACTTGCAGGAAAACAGAACAAAGCAAAAACATGTAACAACCACCCTTCCTTGCTCCCAAACTGTTCTTCTATAACTAAGATCCGATTCCATTTGGCCTTAGCTGCTGTGCTGTTAAGGAATTTCTCTCTCATTCTCTGCTCTTCTATCCTATAACCTACCTTTCATCTCCTAACCAGCTTTCTTTCCCCTCCACAAATGAAGGCAATTATCAAATAACCTGCTTTAACCCCCAACATCTGCCTGACAAACACGGAGTCTCACTCCCTCCCCACCTGATTTTTATTTTCTTTCATTTCTTTTTCTTTCCTTTTCTTTCTTTCTTTCTTTTTTTTTTTTTTTTTTTTTTTTTGAGGTTGGAGGAGAAACTGGGGCTTAGGAGATGGGGAGAACGTTGGGCTGAGAGGAGAGTTAGATTCCTGCAGGTAAAAAGTCACTGGCAGATTCTTTACAGCCTAGACTCAGGAACTGGTGGCTGTTCTTGCCCGTAGAACAGTGAACCTTGGCAGGTTTACAATTGGCAAAAGCACCTCTACCTCTTCCGTGGGAGAGATGGCCTTAGCTTTACTAGCTGGATCACCACTAGTTACTAACATCTTCAACCTGGTCTCCTTTCACTTCTACTCCCCTCACTTTATTGCCCCCTTTCTGTCCCTTCATCTTTAAAGGAGTCTAAAGAGTTCTTTAGGGGGACCTAATTCCTAATTTTTGTGTCTTGCCCCTTGGGCTGAGTTCCTCAGGGCAAGTATTCTCTTTAGATTCAAAGGAACCTCAGTTACTCTGTCCTTCTCAAATTCCTCAGCTCTGTAAACGTGACTCCCCAATATGACAACTTGCCCATTCATCAGCAGAGCTCTAGCCAGAAGGTACCAGGTCTTTCTACCCAAGAATCCCTTCAAATGTCTGCCTCTGTTCCCAGTCTCCATCCCAGACTGATTTACTTGGGAATGGTGTCCAAGGAAGACATGCCTGTAGTAACGAAGAGGAATGGGTACAAAAGTACTTAGGGCTATTAAAAAGACCTACCATATTAGACCAAGGGAGTCTTTATTAGAACACTGGAGTTGGGCCGGATTGGATCATCCATCTAACCAGTGAAACAAGAAATCAGAGGAATGCCCCACTGCAGCCATGAAACACAATTCAGACTGAAATGGATCCCATCTTCATCCTGTCGACCAGAGAAATTATTTTAAAATTGTTTCCGCTATTATTGTTTGCATTATTATTAACATTTTATTTCTGTCATTATTGCTGCAGTGTATGTTATTTTATTTTTGTTGTTGTTGCAGCTATTATACTATTCAACAGAAGTTTAGAAAGATTAGTCAGATTAATTAGTTTATTGGTAATTTAAAGCTGAAAACTGGTAATTAAGCCAAAAAACTAAAAATGATCAGGGATGATTCATAGCAATGTAGGATTTGGGAGGAAGAGAATCTAAATTTTGGATATAAAATTTGGCAGCTGTGAAATAAACAGGACTTGGGGATCAGAAATATGATAATTGAAATAGTCTTAGTCACTCAACCTCTCCCCCCTCCTCCAAATTCAGCTCAGATCATTCCATGATTTGCTTGATAGAGGAAAAATACTATATTTGCTTTTGTTGACAGAGAACAAAGACCCCAGGCTTATTCTTCATGTGATTTGCATTTGCACATGGATTTCCTTGCTTAGGACCATCCAAATACCTAAGCTCACTCCCCTCCAAGTTTACCTCTCTTTGCTCCTGTTATGCACCTCACTGAAGAGGGTGCATCATATAAGACAGGTATACAATTTCAGCCCTCTCCACAGACAGATTCCATGGAATATAAATTCAATAATGCAATTCTCTCCACAACAAGCTCTCTGCTCTCTTTCAAATATAATTAATGTTTTGATAGTGTAGTTCTTTAACTACATATATACACACAAAAACAGACGCACCCTCTAGCTTCGCCGTTTGTGCATTTAAAACAGAAATGGATGTGGCTCTTTCAGTGACTCCTAAAATTCCTCAACTCAGCCAGCCCACAGAGAAGAAATCTGTTTAGGTAATAACTGCACAGTCTGTTGTGTGCCTAGAAATATTTAAAACAATAAAAAATGCAAGCCCCTAGTTTTTGATAGTCATTTTTTGTCAAATTTCCTAGAAAATACAGGATATTCTGAATTGATATTCTGATACAGACATTCTCTAGATAACAGTCAAAATCAACAAAAACACTATCCTAGCTACTGGTTGTCTTTTCCAAGTTTTGATGATGAAATTACCTTCTATTTTATCAACTGGCGTGAAGTTAACACAGGTATATAAAAACTAGCAACTATAATGGGCAAAACTACAGTAACTTTCATACAAATTGCTTATTCCATGCAACACCTCAGTTACATGTTTTAGGTGGATTATTTCATTTAATTGCCATCAGTTGTATATTAACATATTCATATGTGAAATAGATGGTCAGAAAGAAAGGTATGTATGTAGATGACAACATGGCTAGTAGGAGTTAAGTGAGCAAATGCTGCTGAACTTCCATACTCAAGTGTACCGTATACCTAACATTTCACTTCTGCAAGCTGATTACAATTATAAGAGGACACATAACCTTTCAGACTGTAGGACATGACATATTTTCAGTCTTTAATAAGGAAGAATACATAATCCATAATACTTAACCCAATGAAAATACAAACCTTAATCTCCCTATATTGTTAATGAATTGAAGAAGCTAGTTATTTGGAACTAATACACTGATTTCCAAGCATCTTGTCCATTTTGTTTGACTCGTGAATGTATACCAGGTGCTGTCAGGGGAAGCATTTTACACATTTCTCTTCACAACATTTTTAAAGGGGATATGCAAAAGGGATTTCTTTTACATCTTTTGAGGTTTAACTTTCATACTTTTCATGCAGTATTTGGTGTTTGAAATTGTGAAAGAAGATAAAAGAATCAACAAGGAAGGGAGAACATGTGGCTGATTCCAAGTAGTCCTTTTAACTATATGGGAAAAACAAAAATATTTCCCCAGTGCAGTTGTGCAAAGAAAGGGAAGAGTGTGTGATCCCTCAAGAGCTCACTTGTGCTTTTTGTTATTGTTTTAGATGGTGGCCCATCAGGCTTCCTTTCCCATTACTTTCCTCCAAACTGTCTTCCTTGAGAACATAAATGTGGAAACTACTTATCCCTTCATTCTCTCATAGGGAGAGAATATATAAACAGCAAATATTTTAGTTATATATTCAATAGAAAAAAAGTTTTTACAGGTTCAGAGAGTCAGTCCTGGTACAGAACCAAATTACCAATCCCAGTTGGTTAGATAACAGTTAATTTGAAATTTCCATGTAGTGAGCAATACGGTTTTTTATATATATGTAACATTTTTTACAGTATTGATCAGCATGATACGTGAGCTATCAAAAAGAAATCCTCCCTCAGACTTTTTATATTCGTTCTGCTTTCTTCTTCATTTTCCCTTTCGGTTTATTTTTGAAGCAGTGACAGGACTGCTTCTCTGACTCTCAAATGAGGTTTCCTTTGGCTCAGGTTAATATTAAAGAAGATCACATACACGGTTGGAAAATATTGTTATTTTTCTTTAATGGGGAAAATTGGACTCCCGCGTGTCAGATCTGTGGTTTTCCGAAGGGTAATGGAAATGGTACTGACATCACTTTGCACTTTAACAATCGGATTTGGTCAGGGTACAAGTTGTTTGTTTAACCCGACAGCTCGGTGGACTCCGTCGCACGCTTTGCACACTCATTAAAACGATTATTCACGACCTGTCGAGTGTTTTCGGGTTCATTCACAGGAAAGGCTTGGAGCAAGCGAGAGCAATTCAAGTCAACACTGTCCACTACCCCGTGCACGTGAGGACGAGCCGGTGCGTGCGTAAAGAGACGGAGGGAGGGGTGGGTGAGCACGCCTTAGCTCTAAGTCCTGTTCATCCGATGCTCTGGAATCTCAATCTCGAAAGAATGCCAAGAGTGCTTGGTCTTAAAAGGCTATGTCGCCGTGTTAACTTCAAGGGCTTGGCACAGGACAGAAAAATAAAATAAACCAAATAAACAAACTCAAATCGCTCTCTCCACTCCTCCTTTCAACCTTCTGCAAAGCTTGAGGTCCCCAGGCTCGCCCACCTTCTGCCTGCAGCTGCCGGACTGCCAGGCTCCACCTCTCACATCTCCGAAGCTGAGGATATGTAGTTTCAGGAAAATTCACCAGGGTGAAGAAGAGATTAATTCCCTTTCCATCTCCCAAGGCCCTTTCGTTCTCAAGAAAGAACTCGGTTACTTTTACTCTCTATATTCCTCTCAAATACTGAAGGGGGTGGCAGGAGTGGGGGGGTGGGGGTGCAAGAGATGAAGAATATGACTGTTAACCATATTTGTTGGGTATATTCCAAATTAATAGGAAAGAAAGATTCATCGTCCAGATTGCAAGCAAAATCCTATAAAACGAGAAGTAGCCCTCGATAAATAAGGCTACTCCTCCCCCCCCCACTTTCCAAGTCATCTTTCAACATTTTGTGAAGATGAGTATAAGAACAAACAATAATGCATCTCAATCTCCTACAATTGTCTTGTACCTACAAAAGACACACCCCGTAGTCTTCAGTTGTTTATTTGCTCAAATGAGACCTGATATATAACCTTCACATGAGCTATTAGTTCAAGAATGTCTATCTTCCTAAGGTATAATCGTACCTATACCCTAAATGATAGAATACATGAGAGTATATATGCATTTAATATCTACTGAAGAACGCTATGATATCAGGAGTAACCGCCCCAATAACTTAAAGTTAACAGATATTTTTAAACAGTACCATTTCTATATTCAAATCCCGCTGCTCCTTGACTTTTCATCTACATCCATAGTAAACCCAGGATGAGAAAAACCTTATTGTTATGCGAAAACCAAGTCATGCCAACAGAAAAAAAGACAAGGCTCATTCATCGGTTTCACTCTATCATATCTGACACCATAAAATCATCTGTTTTTCTATTTTACTGAAACATACCAATACAGTATGTGAAGAGAAGAATGGAAGTTTTCTAGTAGCATGAGGTTTTAATCAGAAACATGTTTCTCATTGCTAAAAAGCTGGTACGAATAAGGAATTTTGTAAACTCTTTGTGTTGCCATAATTCACTATCAAGTTTACTTAAAATCGATCTGTCAAATGTGTTTCCTATGTAAGCTGTTTCATTAAAACCAACCTGCAAAAATAATCAAGAGGCAGATGCTGAAATATGTAAGTAAATAAGTGAAAGTCTCTGCATAAGTAAACACAAATCAATGCAGTAATAGACAACACTATCGATGTAGGAATGATCGATTTTAGTCTTCTAACCAGCAATCAGAGCCTGCAATGTATAATTAAAAATAAAAATTTCAACTCTACGACTATTACTATTACTACTACTACCACTACTACTATTACTATTACTACTCCTGGGGGAAAAAATAAATAAATAAACAAGTCCTGCTGCCAGTTCTATCCGATCCCACTTGATTCCATCTAGAGTATTTCTGAAGGTGTGGAAGAAGTACTTCACTTTCTCTAAGAAACCTTTGTCAAAACTTAAAACTACATTATTAATGATAAAAGTATCAAATAGGAAAATGATTTCCTTTTTCTTGTTCTGAATTTTTCAACCTTTATAACAGCCTCTTGCTATTCTTGCAGCATGTTTTAATAGGAAAAACGCAATAGTGCTTATTATTTTAAAAGTGCTTGTTTTCCCAACTACTGTGATACTTTTGGGTTTAAAGATTCTTTGGGCCTTTTGTTAAAACAAATAAGAAAAATGTAGTTTCCTCAATATACCCTGAGGTTCTCACACCTATGCTTACATATATAAGCAATCCGACACAAGAAAGGGGGAAAAGCATCTGCGTTATTCCAAAATTGTATCATACAATGACTGCAAAACAGTGTCTGACTCAAAGAAATAAATATGCCTTGGATTTCTAGAAATTCACATCTAGAACGGCTCACATTTTGCTTAATGCTAAATTTCCTTTTTGAGACTATCCTTGGAGGGCAGAATTCATTTAGATTAGCAAGAACCAGTGTATGATGATTTTGAGTATTTAGGTTCTATAGAGTAATGAAAATACGACGTTCATATTTTTCTCTTAATCAACAAAGATGCTTATTTACATTCATTCTTGAATTAGTGTTGTCCTTTTAGAGCACAGGCCTTTAAAAGAATTTCTTAGTTATGAAATTCAGCTCCTTTGAAAGTGATTTTTCTTACATAATAGCACCTAAATATGGGTTTTGATTATATTACTATGTGATCAAGGATTCTCTGACTCCTTTCCTTCCCATCCAGGGGCAACCAGACCCAAATGGAAAATATCATCAGTTATTGTTTAGGGCTAATTTAACAGATAATTTAACTTCAAACAACAATGATCAGGTCATTAAATTTCAGAGCATGAGAAAATGAAAGAGCTGAGAAACAACTCTCTCTAACTCCACTACAGTTTTTGGTCTTTCTGCCCAATCAATGGAGTCAACAACGTCTTGCCATACGCAGGGGCCTGACGTGGGGTAAGATATGTTTGCACCTTCAACGCACTCTGATTCAAAGAACGAGACACTAACGGGAGCAAAAAGGGGGAAATAAAACGGAAAAAGACAACCCCAATTCAGGGAGTGCTAGCTGTGTAGGAAAATTCAACCTAAGACGAAAATGAATGCCCAAACATCACTGGCCACGGAACACTTTCTTTCATTCGGACACACATCTCCAAATCTCGCAACGTGCCAAGTGCTTTCCTCCCGTGCAGCTTTTCTGCAAGGCCAAGGACCAGGCAGAGGGCTATCGGTGTTAAGCAACTGACCCCCCCCCCAAGGACATAGGGCGTTTTAGCTCCCTTCCCACCCCCACAGCCATAATTTTGAGAGTTAGTTGATATTATTTTAAATGCCTTTTGTAATCACAACAATTTCGAGATTTCTGCCTACCTCGAGTTTTGACAGAGGGCTAGGTGGGGATGGCGTTAAAGCGTCGACATTGGGTCTTAGGGGGTTGGGGGGCAGTCAGGAGTGGACGAGCTCTATTAGCCTGTCCTTTTCATCCCGCCCTCTTTCCAAGGCTGAAGATCACCGTCTGAGAATCTTCCTCACACTTGGGATGCTCTCTGCCCGCCCAAACCCCTGCCTCCCTCTCTGCATCCCAGGGCCACTCTTAGTGTTAAGGGAACTCCTATAACCAAGACCAGCTCTTTTCCTTTAAGAACCCTTCACCTTGGACCACAGGCTCGGACCGAAGGGAAAATGGGGTAGAAAGCGAAATAGAATAGAAGCAGAGAGTGGAGAAGAGAAAAGATGTCTATTACAGAGAAAACAGTTGTATCAACTAGTAGATAAGTGCTGAGATCTGAAACCGCACCAGGTAAACAAAAAGAAACAACTTTCGGGGAGGGGGAGAGGGGGTGGGGGGCGGAGGGACGAGAATAAAGAGAGAAAAGGTGGGGACGCGCGCCAGCCACGGCTGAGGAGTGCGGTCGCCGGCACCGGCCGGGGTGAGCCGCCAGCCTCGAGCTCTCCGTGTCCTGGGCAAGAGCGCCCTCACCTTGCTGCTCTCCCCGCTCAGCGCCGGGCTTCCCTCGGCCGGAGCCTCCCGCCCGCGCCCGGCCGCCGGCGCCGCGCCGACTCCGCAGCCACAGCGCTTTCTTCTCCATTCCCAGGCCCGGGACGACCGCGCCGCCGCGCCCTCGTCCAGCGCCGGCCGGGCGTCGCGGAGGCGCGGCGCAGGCGCCTAGGGCGCCGCTGCGAGGGCCCCAGACCCGCGGCGCGCGAAGCCGGCGCGCTCGCGGGCACTCTCGGGACAGCCAGGCTCTCGAGCCTACGCGGCCGTCTCCTAAGTGTGCATTAAGAATCAATTATTCGCCTGAGATTCCCAAAGCCGGGAACTGGGATATTCCCAGCAGGGACGCAGTCAAGCCCAGAACGGTGCTCTTTTCCTGAGTCCTCCGAACGCGCGGAGGGGAAGCCTCCCAACCCCGTCCCGCCGCTCGGTACCTGGAGCAGTTCCGCTAAATCCCGCGGGGACCCTCGCCTGACCCAGGCCCAGGAGCTGGGGGCGGAGGGGCAGATCTGGGAGAGCTTGGCAAAGTTAGTGTGAAATTAGCGGGAGGAGGGGCGATCTACCAAAAAAAAAAAAAAAAAAAAAAAAAGGGAGGGGGGAGAGAAGGAGAAGAAAAAAGAACTTTAGAATTAGGCAACTCCTTGGCTTTGGAGCAAAGAGCTTTGTCTCAAATAGGGAGAACAAATATCTGTGAGTTTGAACGTTAAGAAAGGTCCGTTGAGGTATTCTCGAAGCTGCGGCAAGACTCAGAAGTCCTATTTCCATGATTTGAATTATTCTGCACTTTGAGACCTATTTCACTCTCCCATACCGCTCCCTCCCTCCCTCTCTATAAATTCGTCTCGTTTTCTCTTCATCCCTCTTTGCCGCGTCTTCATCCTCTTTACTTAGGGATCCTTGGTGACTTTCTGCCGACGTGGAAAAATCATGCATTCTCTCAGCTACTTCTGTTGATAGCGCGCCCGCGAAGTAAATTTTTCAAAAAAAAAAAAAAAAAAAAGGAGGAGCATTTTAGCCCCAGACCTCAAAGTCGCGGTTTAAGCGTTTGTCAAAAGCAATCTGGCAAAGCTCTCCTCCCTCAGAAAAGCACTTGCACTTACCAGTCTTGGGGTAAGAGTGTCCCAGTCCTTACATCTTTTTCTTCAGCATCCTTCGGCCAACACCAGGCAGTCTTAGGTTAAGGGGGAAAAAAAAATAGAAATCGGAAGGGAGAAAAGAGACTCACACACAGCACAACATCATATATTCCCCGGAGCAACCTTGGCCTACATCCTCAGGACAAGCTCTGGGCGAACTGACCGCTAGAGTGGGAAAAAGGTCGGTTTGGGGGCCAAAAACTAAGAGGTGGATTATTTTAACTGCTAGTGGTTGGGGGGGGGGAGGCCCTAGAGGGAGGGTAGAGAAAGGGGGGATGATTGGAATGAGAACATGTAAAAGAAAAACACGAAAAAGTAAAAAAAATCTAGAATGAAAGAGCCTTTGAACTCTTACAGGTAGGTAGTTCTTAGGAAGAATGCAGACGTGTGTACGCGCTAAAGGAAAATCTAGATGACCCCTATTCTTTCCATATCTCCAGGATCTGGCCTCAATTGGCTTCAAGTAGGAAAAAAAAAAAAAAAAAAGAGGGGAGAATTTTAATTGAAGTTTCACCTACCCTGCTTGTTGGAATGGCTGCACAGATTTTCACGTTGGAGAGTTCCATCTGTCTGGCAGAAGCGGCAGTGGTGTCGGGGGCAGGTTATCTGGTGAAGTAGGAATGTACAGGAACCCCGCCCTCTAGGCACAGTTATACAACCCCAGCAACCCGTCTCAGCCAGCTCTAAAACCTCTAATGATCTTCACCTTCACCCTTTGTTAGCCTATTTCTCCAACAGGCACTTAGTTCCAAACGCAAGTAGCCACTTCGGCTATTTATAAAATTAATTTCTCAAAAGCAAAATTATTTCAACACAAGCAAATTCCTCAACAATGTTGCAGGAAACACACTTTTTAAAAACCACATTTATATATTTAGAGCTCTAAATATATATTCGATTTACCCACCTATTTGGGCGAAATATCCACCAACTTAAATATATACAATTATACGAATACACTGCATGGCTCATTTTCTTTTTGTGTCTCTACACTTGACTTTATGCAAGTCATATAAACCACGTAAAATCTTCCATGGCTATAAAGATACTTGTATTGAATCTTGTTAGTTCTGCACTTCATGTTCACTTGATTTCCAATTTTGTAACAAGCTGAAGAAACATATTTGGAAGAATTCTCTCCTTGCTCTAGTTTAAATCATTTTCTCAATGTTTTATATATCAATGATTTGTATTAACTTTATACCAGATGAATTCAAGCAAAATACTTAAAACTTGGAGACACACTGCAATTTGGGAATTTGAGTTTTAAGTTATGATCATTTTCAGTTCCAAAATCTCAAAAAGAGCAACCTCCATCTCATTAAGAATAATTGTAAGTATTAAAGAAAAGCTTCAAAAAGTTTTGAAGTGTTTTTTTGGCATACGCTAATCTTAACTGGTAAAGGTTGGTGACAACAAACATCAACAGTGTTACAACCAATTTGTTGCAAAAAAAATCTATTAAATGGCATGCTAGAATATTGTATGCTTTTGTAAAAGATAACTTGAGAGATGATAGGACAGACTGAGATAAATGAAATGTTCATACTGGGCTTCAGGAGGCCTTCACAAATTTCTCTCTCTGAATATCCCCCTCCCTATTTTGTATGCGTATTCAACAAGCTATTCTTACTTCTAGTCAGATCCATTATATATGTAACTTAGAGATGTATCCAAATAGAACTTCCACTCTGGTCCCTAGCTCCTATGAGTTCAAAGAAGTCAATTTTATGCTTGACCTCAAAATAAAAAGTTTGCCACTGAAATTCTATTTCTCAATCATGCAAATGAACACTTATCACAAATAAGTATACTATTTAATATGGCCAGAAAAGAAAAAAAAAAAAAAACCACCCCAAACTCGTGGAACAACTCTTTCATGTCTATGTCCCTTTGCCTCAATGGAAGAATTCAACTTTCTTTTTAACTTTTGATAGGCAAAAGACTATTTCTTCTGTGCCAGTACATTCTCATTCCACAAATAAAATCCACGGTAAAAGCAAACAATACATCATCACCTTTTTCAGTCTAAACACATGCTTTTCTTTGAGCTGTTTTGGTTCCCACAAATATGTAATGGGGATTTCCCTTGCCTAACCTCATTCATTTGGACTCTACTACTATTTTTAATATCAGTCATAAATTTGGTTTCTAAAACAATTTATTTGTGGAAATTTCTTTCATGCTTCATTCTGAAGAACGGTTACATTTCAAGAAAGTTGGACCTCTGGTGAAACTGCTCTCATATTAAGAAGATAAAATCATGTCCAGTCTGCTTTAAGGAGATAATTAAACTAGCTGTCTTGGTCTATTTTAGTCTATTTCCCATTTGTGTATATTTGGTTCCAGCTCTTTTAATTTTCCTGGACTTTATCTTTTTTTCTTAGATAGCATTTCTCTCTGTCTCTTTCTTTTTGGTAGTGGGAGATGCCTCCCCCCCAAAGATCCTCTTTCCCTTTCTTCTCTTTTTCTCTCCCTGTCTCTCCCTTCCACAACCCACCCATTCCTATGCACTAATATTAACTATTCTGCATTTCTATTTCAATCTATTTGAGGCAGCTTGCTTCTCTCTTAGGCTTTTTTTTTCTTTTTTCTTTTTTACCTGAGCAACTCTCTAAGTGTTTGCCGATAACATCTTGGGGACAGATTATTTTTCATTGGGCCCATTGTAAGAAGTAGCCAGCTTATTGCATTACTGCAGAACACATTTCAGACTATACAATTGTAACAAATGAACAACTTGTCCTCCATAGACTCTCCACAGGATCCAATTAGTTACTAAATCTTTTACTTAGGTTTTCTAATTATTTTCTGGAGTCATAGCAATTGGGATACTGAAACAATTAAAAAATGTTTTCACTTTTGTTTCAGATTGATATATATGCATATATACATGCATATGTATATTGTAAATTAAAACAGAATCATGACTGTAAGCAAAAGGAACAAATCTCTAGATTAAATTATACAGACATTGAAAAGGGAATCAAATAAATACCTCTATGTTGTAAAAATGAAAGAAAAGGAGAGAGAGGCATTTGATTTCTTCTGAACATCTAGAATTTTAAGTTGTTATAATTAAAAATATAAACATTGATTTGCAAGTCATTACAACAGGTGATCACTTCAGCAAATCTATATTGCAACTTCAGCACATCTTTATTAGAACTCTTTCATTGTGGGTAAACAGCCACAAAAATAAATGCTGACTTAGAAAGTATAAATACAAATATTTAAACAAAAATATTTGCAGCATTCATAGCGCAAATTGTACCTGAACTGAAGGGCTCTGTGTGTCTATATATATATTACATATGTGTGCATTATATTTACTTCTATCTAACCATATACATATATTTATTTATAATTTGCCAAATGCTATAAACAAGATACCTGAAACAAATATATAAAAAGCATTCTATCAACTGATTTGAAAATAAACACAAGGTAAATAGCTATGCACATAAAATTAAATTATTGGTTTTGTTTTTTGTTTTTTGCTGTATATCTACAGAAACTTAAAGATACCAGCTGACAAGCCTATGCTTTCTTTAAAGCTAGTGTTTATTAAATAGGCCTGCTCCTTGTAAAATTTGATTCCACAATGGGTAAAAAAAATACTATTTTCATTTTTAAAGTCTTAGTTCAAATGAAAGGAGCAGTCAAATTTTAGTTGGCTGAAAAAGCCTTTTGAATTCCCTAGAACTTTAATGGTCTTTTTAAAAATTAGCTCTACTTAATAAAAGAGACAAAAGTATCAAGATATATATGAATTTAGCCTATTTTTTATTTCTGTGTGTTCATAGTAAACATTTTTGTAAGTGACAAACACGGGCATATGACCACAGTATCACAATCAAGAAATTTTAAGACAACATTAACAATCACTCAAATTGATGCGGCATTTGCGCAACACAGGTTACATATTTGCAAGGTTTTACCTATAAGTACAATAGGTATTAACATTTCACTACATTTAGAAAAAATAAAAGTGACCTGTTAGTGACCACATACATCAAAATATACACAACACAAACTGAAGGCAATCATTAATTTTGTCCCCTTCCAATTCATTTGAATGGGCAGTGCTGCCAACTGAAACAACTTTCCTTTTTTTGTGTTTTTTTTTTGTTTTTTTGTTTTTTTTAATACTTAGCATACCAAGTGCATTTTAGAACCCAATCTTTGGTCTAAAAGTAAACAAAAGAAAAAAAAACAGTTTTGTAAAGAAAAGGACAAAACAATAAATGGCCAAAATAATTTCTTGGGCACCTTTACTACGAATGCTTCTTAAATACAAATTACAGTTTAACATTTTAAAACTCTCCCCATAATTTAGGTTGTTCTCAAGGTCTGCGTCCACCATAAAGATCCATGATAACTTATAATACTGCACACATGGAAATCTGGCGGCCCTTAGAGATAGACTTGTCAGGTTTGAATGAAATGGCAAAGCAGTCACTATTTAGATACACATTCTACTATAATTTTGACTTCCAAACCTTATATTCTACAATGTATTCTCCCCACATTGCACCTCGCTGACACTCCACACCTTGTTAGAATAATAAACAATCCTAAAGACTGAACAAACGTACAGAAATGGGGGGGGGCTTAATAAAAAATACCTGGACTTATTTTTTAATTATCATTTACAATGCAAATGTGTGTAAAACGTTCACTTACAGTCTGGTCCCAGGGATGTTAATGTATTAAAGGGTTGGAAGAAGACCCCTGATTTTGATGTGTGAAATAATCAGACAGTCCCCCGGACAGTCCCGTCGTGAAACTTGGCAAAGAGGGTCTTAAGGACTCACAGGGCAGGGTCGAGGGGGCCTGCGGAGATGTGGAGGATGACGCGGCCCGGGCGCTCATGGACGTGCTGCTCTGCGAAGTCATTGACGGGTGCGGGACGTGGGGGAAAAAGTAACTGGTCTGGCCCGCGAGCAGGTTGACGGAGCAAGGGTTGAGGGAGTAGGTCCCGGAGCAGGGCACCGACAGGCCGCAGGGCACCGAGGCGGCAAGCGCGGCGGCCGTGAGGTGGTGCGTGGCGTACGGGATCTCCCCGTTGACCAGCCGGTCCACGCTCAGGCCGTTGGCCGTGGAGAAGGAGTGGTTGTTGCCCAGCGAGTTCTGAGTCAACACGGAGCTGTAGGGCATGGGGTGGCTGGGGTAGGCCGACGTGGTGCCGTTGTAACTCAAAGTGCTGCTGGCGCGGGGGTGGTGCAGGGACAGGAAGGGCGACATGGGCCAGTAGAGGGAGCCGGCGCGGTCCATGAAGGTGAGGCCGGTGGAGGTGAGGCGCGCCCCGCGCTTGAAGGCCAGCTTGGCCCGCGACGTGGTGGAGCGGCGCCGCAGCTTGCCCGTGGTACCGCCGATGAACACGTCGTCGCTCGACGGGTCCAGCATCCAGTAGTTGCCCTTGCCCGGGTCGTCGTAGTGGCGGGGCACCTTCACGAAGCACTTGTTGAGGGACAGGTTGTGGCGGATGGAGTTCTGCCAGCCCTGCTTGTTCTCGCGGTAGTAGGGGAAGTTCTTCATGATGAACTCGTAGATGCCGTTGAGCGTGAGCCGCTTCTCCGGTCTCTGCCGGATGGCCATCATGATGAGCGCGTTGTAGCTGAACGGCGGCTTCTCGTACTTGCCGTTCTTCTTCTCGCCCTCCTTGCCCCCCTCCCCGTCCTTGCCGCCCTCGCCCGCCCCCTTCTTCTCCTCCCCCCCGGCGCCGGCGCCCTTCTCCTTCTCGTCCGGCCCGACGGGCGCCAGCTCCCCGGGCCCGCCGCCCGGCTCGCCCTTGCCGCCCAGCCCGTCCGCTTTGGCCCCGTCCAGGGCCGCGGCCGGCGGCGGCGGCGGCGGCGGCGGCGGGAGCAGCAGCTGCTGGGGGCCCTTGTCGTCGTCGGCGGCCGGGGCGCCCCGCGCCTGGGGGGGCTGCGGGGCCTGGGGCGGCGGCGGCGGCGGCGGCTGCTGCTGCGGCGGCGGCGGCGGTTGCGGGGCGGGCGGCGGCGGGTGGTGGTGGTGGTGGTGGTGATGGTGGTGGTGCTGGGGGTGGTGGCTGTTGTGGTGGCCGTGGCTCGCGTGGTGGTTGTCGTTCTGGACCGCCTCTGGCACCAGGCTGTTGATGCTGAACGAGGACTTGGGGATCATTTTCACCTCTTTCCTATCTCCCATGTCCAGCATCACCCAGTCGTCGGGGGGGAAACGGCGGCGGCGGCGCGGGAGCGGGACAGCGGCGCGGCGGGCGGCTGCGACCGGCGGGTGCCGAGCGGGGCGCGGGCGGCGCGGGCGGCGGCTGTGGCACTGAGCGCTCCGGCAGCAGCGCAGTTGGACCGCAGGCTCCGGCGCTGGCAAGTCATGTAGCAAAAGCAGCAACCACCCCTCAGGAATAAGAAGAAAAAAAAAAAAAAAAAAAAAAAGGAAAAGAAAAAAAGAAAGAAAGAGGGAAAAAAAAAAAAAAAAAAGAAACAACCACCGCCCCGGGGGTGAAGCTCCCTCGCTCCCAACTCTACTTCTTGGTCTCCCCCCCACCCCCCGCTCCCCCCCCCTTCTGCTGCTTCCTCCTCCTCCTCCTCTCGCAGCAGCAGTCACAGCAGCAGCAGCAGCAGCCCAAAGGGGGGGAGAGCCGGGCGGCGGGCGGGCGCGTCCCGGAGCGGCCGCGGCGAGGCTGGGGAGACAGCGATCGAGGCGGCTATAGCCACAATTAATTTTCCGAGCTACAGGCGCACACTAGGGCTGTAAAAAAATTTTTGGTTTAACCTTTCCTACCGCTGGGCCAATCAGAGCCGGCGGCGTGCGGGAGCGTCTCTCCTGCCGTCGACCAATCGGCGGGCCTGGGCCCACCCACCCCCGCCCCGCCCGCCGGCTCCCGCCCCCTCGGCGCTCGCCTCCCCCTCGCCGCGGGCCTGGGCCTCGCGGCCGCGCGGAGCCGCGCAGGGATACGCCGCCGGGAGCACGCTGCGCCGCGGCCCTTCGTGGCGCCCCCTCCACCCCCTCCACCCCGCGGGTCGGCTCAGCCGAATCCCCCCGTCTTAGGGCAAATAGCTCCCGTTTCCGGCTGCCTTCCCACTGTATTGGGTCATTTTCGTTGGAGGGTCAATATGGGTCGTTATTGATTAAAGTTTGTATTCACGGTTATTTTTAAAAGCGGGGGGCGGCGGCGGCGGCAGCGGTGGTGGAGGGGAGAGTGGGAGTGCGGGGCGAGGATGCCAGGAGAGGGCAGGAAATGGAGGAGGAAGAGGCAAGGCGCCACTTTCCCCAGCCGGCCCTGCAGGCCGGGCTCTGGCATTTCTGAGCCCGTAGGAAAACTGTGCCCCTTGTAGGTAACACTGCAGCGAGGCTTTGGGTGGCTGGGGAGGGAAGGCCCACCCTTGGCGTGGGGAGGGGGTGGGGTGCCCTACACCTTGGGGGAGGAGGGTCTGGAGGAGGTTTGGAAACGGAGGGCTGAGGAGGAGGAAGTGGGCTGGCGAGCGCGGGGCCAAACGGGGGTTACTTACTCGGTTCCTGCGGCCGGGCGGCGGCGAGCCCGGAGCTCGGGCGCCGCCGGGAAGCCCGGCCTGGGGCTCCTGGCGGCGGCGGCGGCGGCGGGCGGGGGCGGCTCAGTGGTGGGCGCCTAGGATAGCCTTCCGAAATGAGGGGTGCACAGAGAGAAAACAATACCAAACAATCTCGAAATAAACCAGGTAACACATGCTATGTCTATGTGCCTCTTCCTTCCCCTTCTCTCCTGCTCCAGATCGTCGCTCACACGCCGGGTGACTGACTCGGTGTCGTTTCCTCCTCGCCGCTGCTCCAGCGTCTCCTCAGCTTCTAATCCGAATTGGAAGCGAGTAGCCGCGAGCGATCACCCTGGAAATGTTTCATTTTGCTTGTTGACATTGGAGGGGGAAAATAAGGGTGGGCGGCTATTTCTTTCCTTTTTTTTTTTTTTTTTAAAGCCTTCTTGTTTTCACTCCCTTCTTTGCTTTTTTTCTTTCCGTTTCTCAAATGCTTTTGATTTGTGCGGGCCTTAATGCTGAATTAACCGCATGCTAAAGCCAGCCCTTTCCCACCCTGAATGCAGATGGAAGGCAACTGGAAGCCTCGGGTGCGTGGGTCCCACAATCCCAGCTTCTTGGGCTTTAGACCTGGGAAGGTTCGGTTGAGGGCTGAAGTGAGTGGGGAGATTGTGATTCGGGGGCTTTAAAAGGATCCCGTGGCCAGGGGCAGGGCTAAGGCCCAGCATTTCCCAGGGATTGGAATTTGGTGCGGAGCACACTGATCAAAGGCTGTTTCATCCCACATGGGTACGAAACATACCACATTTTACGGAGGATGTAGCCCTAGAGAAGAGGGAGGTGGAGGAGAAGCATAAATGAGAGGCACTCTCCCCCTCCTCTGTAAAATAAATAATCATAAAACATAAACATTTACTCACTTTGATAAACTCTCAAACTGTCTGGCAGATGGAGGATTTAAGAAAAGGAAGAAAAAGCGATGCCTATGTGTGATGTTAAAGTTCAGTTCTAATACGAAGAATGCGATTGATGGAAACAAGAATACTCAGGTTAAAAGGGGGTTATCCCACCCTCCCTACCCCACTCGCCACCTTGAAATCCCGAGAAAGAAAGAATAAACTCAAGAGAAGAACAGACCATTAGAAATAGCCAGTGATTTTAAAATACCGATTATGAACACCAAAAAGAAACCTTGAACATGGGACTAACCTCATCTACCCATCCTAGTGTATGGATCCCACCTCCATTTTTACATATCTCCTTACTGAAGCTATATTTACATGTGGGGAAGTTCAAGGGTCCCAGCTATCAATGTTGGTAGAGGCATGGCCCCAAACACTGACTTCTAAGCTCCAGTTTCTTACAGAGCCGGGTGAGCTAATGGGCTTTGTGGACCGGCTGGAGAGCTGTGAGCCTTCCTCTTTCTGCCTGCTTTCCCCCTTTCTCTTCCCTCCTCAGGCCTGTTTTTCCTACTTTTCCTCAACTCACTTTCCTCCCTCCTCCCCCCTTCCTCCCTCCTCCAGCTCGCACCCCCCCATCTCCTCCATCTAGTCCTCTCCCTCACTCCATTCCTCCACCTACTCCTCCCCGTTTCTCCCCTCACAACCCCCCTTCTCATCCCCACTTATAATGGCACACAAGGGCTCCCTCTGAGGTGGACGGCCCGGTACGTTTTCGTAGTCGGTCTAGCGTGAAATGATTCGGTGTAACCGGATTCTTGGGAAAGGACAGGTTACGTAAACATTTACTGATGTGGAGTAACTATACTATTTGTACTCTGATATGCAGGAAGGAAAGTGTTGATTAACACAGAAGAAAAAAAAGCGAAATTAGCTGATTGCATGCTCATAAGTGCAAGCTGTCATTGAACTGCTTTTAAAATAGACACAGCTGGGTGTTTGTGTTGAAAAATTTCTTGTGTTTTTGCTAATACTGAAATAAGCATGATTTTGTATACCAAACATTTTCAGATCATTAAAATTTGTAATCTGTGCTGGTTTTAAACACAAAGAAAAGAAACAGAATCATTTCGATGTAAAATTTGCTGATATTATATTAACTCAATCAGGTCTGTACAAATTGTGCATTGTGCCTCCTAAAATCTGTTTGATCAATTTAATACACAAAGTGCCAAACGTGGGTATTGTTTGTTAACATTGGACATTTTATTCAAATCTGAGCTCAGCAGCAAACTGGAGGAGCATTCCTTGAATACAACACCAGCACTGACTGATGAATTTTTAATGTTTTAAGGTGTTTCTTAGGTCAAAGCTGAGTGTGCATTGTTTTGTAATCTTGCATAAAAATTTAGCAGGTGAAAATAAGTTTTTCTTTTGTTTACTTTCAAAAAGCAAAAACTGGGGTCTGCTAATGAGAGCTGTAATAATCTGGTTTTATGTGCCAGGAGCTGATATTGACTGGGAAAATATTTTGCATGCAAATTAAGAATGTGTTATATTATTTTAAGGATTGCACCGATGCAAGTTTCAAAATAGGGTATTTGTATAGGAATAGATTACAGTTTAATATAATCACTCTAGAGATCTATTCTCCCTAATGACAGAGGTCATTTCCAATTTGGGGAGAGCTGATTTTATTATCATTTTAATAATTTTAATTGGACTTTATGGTGAGATAGAGTACTGTATGTGTGTGTATACATATATATAGGTGTGGGGGTAGGCTTGCTCAACAAAATATGCACTATTTACTCAGCAGCCCACATTTATCTCAGCAATGGCTTCTTTTTAGAACTGCTACTAGATGAAATGGAGGGGGAGGGGGTTCTTGGGCAGAGCATTGTGCAAGTTGAAAGTCCCTGGATGGAGCTTTGTAAAGCCTACTGGTCAATCTGGGTGCAAATTGGATTTGAAGGACTGCCCATGTCCATCTCAGGACCTTAGTCCTAAACACGTGAAGCCCCAATTCTGTATTTCCACCTCAGTCTCTATGATCACTTTCAGAAGACAGAGGGCATCCAGTGGTCTGAGATCTAAAACAAATTGTGTAACATTCTACTAGTTTCTCATATTAGCTTAATCTTGATCTCTTACACACAAACATCTAGAAATGTACTCTGTTGATGAATCAAAGCAGAAGTTAGAGCAAATGCAATTTTCTGGTATATATAGAGTAAATATCTCACTTTCTCTGTCTGCAGTCCCTACCTCACCACGTTCCCCGAAAAGAGGACAGGCCTCATAAAGAGTGAGCAGTCCCAACAGGAGAATTGCTTGGGAAATGAATTCGATGATTTCATCTCTAGTTTTAATTAATAACCAAGGCGCCACAGCCTATCGCATCTGAGTAGGGAGCAGCACATTTAGTTTTTCCATTTGGCGGTGTTACATTAAGTCTTCTTTAAGGCCTTTCCCCCCTGCTTTCTGTCGGCTTTTTCACTTCTCTTTTTTTCCCCCCTTGGTATCTGCTGGTAAAGGAGGATGGGTCCTTTTTACCTAAAATCCACTTTGCTTTTGGCTCCCTGGACAGAGTGTCCTTGGAGTGGCACCAGGCTCTGGCCAAAGCTCTCTTCCTGCAGATGCACTGGGAGTCCCTGACCCCGTGACGTTTGGGAACAAGTGGAACTCATACAGAGGCATCCAGGTATTTCCAGAGACTGACGAGCGAGGTCTGCAATCGCTTCCTAACAGCAGGTAATGGTGCTAACATTTAGTGATTATAAGTTACTCTTTAGCGTGTTGTATCTTTGTTCTGTGGGTTTTGGTTACAGGTTACA